GCCGAATAGCTGGACGTGCTGCCCCTCTCCGGAGTGGCCTGTTTGCCAGGCTGGTGCCTGGAGCCGGCCCTGGCTAGATGGACCTTTGGTCTGACCCAGTATGGCCGTTCTTATGTGTTTGTGTTGGTCAGGCCTTCATCTAGCACCTATCAGATTTCAGTGTCTGGAAGCTTTTCCTTTTAATTTTACCCTGTTACTCTGAATTATTCTGTCCAAAACAAACCTCCTTGATGTTTACACCTTTCAAATTCTTGCAGGCTTTTATCACGTCCCGCGTCACTGCTTGATCCAGCTGCCATATTTATTTATTTCAGTCTTTCTCTTAAACTAGTCCCTTGAGGCCCCTTAATCATTTTTGTTACTATTCCCTGAACTCTCTGCACTTGTCTGGATTGCTTTGGTGATGAGATGACCAGAACTGAGTGCACTATTCTCGATACAGTCACACAAGCTTTATAGATAAAGTTCTATTTTAATCATAAGAAAAATGCAATCCTTAATTTAGGCAACTTGCTTGCTCATTTGCTGATATTTCATACCATTTTTTCTAGGTCATACTACATCATGTTGCTGAATTTCAGGAACATATAATGAAACAACAGGTCAGTGTGGAGTCTGCATACAGCAGACTGGAATATCTCAGGGACTTGTTGGACATCCAGGCTCTGCAGGCAAAGGTACTGACTTTACCTGAAGGTTTGAGATAATGTTCTGTATTACCCAATTTTCCAGCAACGACAGGCTGTTGGTATGTTCTTAGAATAAAATCTTAGCATGGAATCAGACACCCAGAAAAACAAATCACCCTATTTGAGAATTGCAAGAATTAGTTTAATTTAAGAATTTATTTGATCATGGACTTTGAAACTTGTACACTAAATAAAAATTCAATTAAGAAATGTACTATTTTGGCAGCAGTGTTAGAATGATGTGCAAGATGTCAGCTTGGATCTGCAATTTTAACAGGTGAACATCCTCCTCCTAAAGGTACTCCCATAAAGCGTGACAGTGCCTGCCAGGAACCCGGGAGGTGGGATGGTCCCAGAGCCTGGGTTCCATACTGAGCCCAGATGTTTACACTGTAATTTTATTGCCCTGCAGCCCAAGCCTCACAAGCCTGAGTCAGTTGACATGGGCCAGCTGCAGGTGTTTTATTGCCGTCTAGACATACCCTGCATGACTTAGAAACACAAATCCCAATGACTTTTAATGGGTCTTGTGCTCCTAAATCACAGAGGTGCTTTTGAAAATCCCACCCTTGGTATCTATAATGTTTTAATTAAGGGCTGTGTCCAGAAAACTTTAGATCCAGATCCAAACCCTGTTGACATCAGTTGAAGTCTTTCAATTGGTTTCATGGGGGTTTGGATCAGGCTCTCTGTCCTTTTGAGTGGCCAGTTTACATAGTCTATCTATTTTAGGCTACTTTTGTAAAAAAAAAGATCACTGGAGTTATCAGGGTGGTCATGTCTGAACACCTCCCCTCTTCTCTTTCTCTTACTTCAAAATGCCTTATGATGTTTGGTCTCCTGAAGTTCCCCTTCCCCCACATCTCAGCTTCTTTTCACTCCCCATGAGTCTGTCACCGACATCTATAGCTGAACTCCAGCTTATTACTCTCAATGAAATAAGGTTATTATACTGCAGGGTTGG